CTTTTTTATGTGAGGTCCATACAAAAAATAGGGTTGTCCATGTAAGATGTGTGAGATTTCCCGGCCTGAAATATTTTTCCCAGGCCGCCCCTCGTGGAAATTAATGGCGCAGACATGCGGTTTCATTTACTACACATACACGCCTACTGAAGCTCGCGGTGTTTTCAGCCTCTGCCGCCTCAATATATGAGTACATGAACACATAAACATAATCTCTAGAACTGCTCTGAGTCACTTCATGAGCATTTTACTTATTTTGAGAAAACTATCGACATACAAAGAGACACCAATGTTTCAAAAAGACACCAATGTTTCAGGAGTTTAGTACACAGAATAGGAGGCGGTAAAAGGGGGTACTAAAGTCTGATTTTGTGGTGGATGTGTTCCAATTTGATCATCTTAATTCAAATGATTTTGAAAGTCTGACAGTGTTGAGCACTACTGTAAGGTTAACCCTGCATGGTGTAAATATTTGAAAATGATTAACAGTTGCAAATAAACATTCATTAGAAATTTAGAAAAGTAATCAAGAAGTAATCAGTTACATTATTTTAATAAAGTAATTGAAAAAGTTACATTACTATTACATTTTAAATAGGGTAACTTGTAATCTGTAACCTATTACATTTCCAAAGTAACCTTCCCAACACTGAGAGCTGCCAACTCTCACGCATTCAGCATGAGACGGTCAGAATTCACTCAATGCTAAACGCCACACGTAGACATGATGAAAATAAGATATTATATGTGCAGTTTAGAGAGCTTCCTTGATTATAACGGAACATTGTGAGATTGCGATAAATTGAAGTGAGTGACAGATTTTTAGTGATTATATGGAAGCACTATTCACTCGCTTTCTAGGCTATAATCAATTCAGAATTTTAATAAAAGTTCTGTTTCACGTGCTTCTAACTGGACCAAAGGCCAAATACCCTGTACATGCAGCAAAGTTTCAGGATTGACATATATCCCGCATCCCTCATATAAATGTGGGATTCACTTTCGAAATAGCTTGTTTGCAATCAGGGTTAGTTCAGGTAAGCAATTGCTTAGCCTATATCCACCGCCTCGATGGCAGGCAAGTATTTAAATTTAGTTGAAAAATTGCTACTCTTCATAACTTAAGGATCACGTCCAACATATTTTTGTGCTTTTCTGTTTATACCTTTCTCTTATAATAGCGCAGCCATTTTGACAGCCCTAATATTTGCATTTTAAGAGGAAATAATTGAAGGCCAAACATTTGGATAACAATTCAAAACATGTCAGTAGGCAGTATATTATTTGTCAATACCAGCTCTCTGCTTTGATTGATATTATTTTCATTTTCATCTTTGTCAGTGAACAAAGTAAACACATGGTAGACTGATATGTTGTATTAATCATTTTATTAAGTTACTTTATTGAAGGCTACAAGGAAAGCTATGTAATTATGTTTAATAAATTCACAGTATGTGCCCATTCATTATTAATCATATGCCTAACGTTAATATATAATGAAAATGGCTTCGTTAATATTGTTTTGTGTCCCCTCACATTGACAATTATGAATCACATTACATAAATAACGTCAATTGAAAATGGTAAATTTAGACAAGTTTGCATTCCTGATCATTTTTGTCAGTCGTTTAACCACAGCCATATCACCCTGCAGCCCAAGACTGGTTGCCCACTGAAGCTAAGCAGGGTTGAGCCTGGTCAGTACCTGGATGGGAGACCTCCTGGGAAAACTAGGTTGCTGTTGGAAGAGGTGTTAGTGAGGCCAGCAGGGGGTGGTCTGTGTGGGTCCCAGTATAGTGACGGGGACACTATACTGTCAAAAAGCACCGGCTTTCGGATGAGACGTTAAACTGAGGTCCTGACTCACTCTGTGGTCATTAAAAATCCCTTGGCACTTCTCGTAAAGAGTAGGGGTGTAACCCCGGTGTCCTGGCCAAAATTGCCCCCCTGGCCTTTGTCAATCATGGCCTCCTAATAATCCCCAACCACTTGATTGGCTATGACTCTCTCTCCTCTCCACCTGTAGCTGGTGTGTGGTGAGTGCACTGGCGCCGTTGTCCTGTGGCTGCCGTCGCATCATCCAAGTGGATGCTGCACACTGGTGGTGGTTGAGGAGAGACCCCCCCACATGATTGTAAAGCGCTTTGGGTGTACAAAAATACACAATAAAGGACTATATAAATTAATCATTAACATTTCAATCGTAAAACATCTGTCAGATATGAAATGTTTATCTGGCACTTTATAGCCGCTAACTGAAGCGTTGCTTTGAAATTTGCGCTATATGCAGCTTATGTGAACATAAAGCCCGCCTATTTTGATTTGATTGGTCATCTGAAATATTTTTTGACATTGACGAGCGGTGACGAGGAAAAAAATCTGAGGTCTGGACCTCGGTGACCTCATAGCTGGCTAAGGCCTTGGTCTACCAGTACAGTACGGACTTTACTCCATCTCATCCATTCAGCTTTTCACTTCCTGTCCGCCATCTGAATTTCTCGCGTCATCAGAATCACGTGATTTCAAACAAGCTATTAGAGATTTAAATTAATGGTCCTAAAACAGGCCTTTTTTATTTATTTATTATTTTGTGCTGAAATTTGTGAGATATAAAGTGGAAGTTTTTTTTTTTTTTTTTAAAGGTGGGAGGATAGTGTTAAAAATAAGTTGGCCTTTAATAGGTGTAAGGGAAACAGGTCAATTTAGCTCAAAGGGAATCATTTATGACCATTTAATCTTGATTACTTGCCCTAAAATTGACAATCTCCTTCCTGGGTTGTTATGATCAGTGTGTTCCTTTTGTGTTAATGTTGAAAGCTGTTCTGTGAAAGAGTTGGTTAGGCTTGCTTCAGACTGGCTAGTGCTAGGGTCTGATTTATGACATCCTGTGTCGTGGGCCTCTTGTGGAAT